GAGCAGGGCTTTTGCACGACCCCGGAGCCCGGTCCCTCGGCTCTCCTTTAGGGACCCTCCCCCTTCCCCCTCCCAGGGCCACCTGCCACCGTCCGCCGCGCCCCGCCCGCCCCGCCCCCCCCCTGCTCCTCACGCGTCCGGGCACGAACACGCTCGCAGGCCCCGACCCGGGCCAGGTCTACACCGGCGGCAACACCGTCCACACACTCGGCAGCCCCGAGACAAAGAGCCGGTCCCCCCTGCGGATCGGAGAACTCGCAGGGTGACCGCTGGGGAGCGGGTCCCGCGCCCGGGCCGACGGCGAGGACGCGGATCGTCGTCCCGGACATCGTTCCCGTTGCTGGATACAGCACTGTACCCGACGCCCGGCCTTCCAGCGAAAAATCACTTAATTCCTCTCTCTCTCGGCTACCCGCGTGGTGTAGACTCGGGGTTTTTTTTTCCCGCGCACGCGGGCGCCGGGACCTCACCAGCGAGGTAGAAGGTGATGAAGATGGGGCTGGAGGTGACCCTGATCTTGGCGACCGGCGGTCGGAAGGCTTCCAGAGGCAGGAAGGCGAAGAACAGCACGTTTCGGCACGAGCAGCACAGAGGTCCAGTAGCGGACCCGTCGGCGGCAGGGGCCAAACGCCGTCACGGCCTGTCGTCCCTGGTGGACCCCAAATCCCCAGCATGCACGGCTAGAGCGGGGGTCTCGCTCTTGCTCAGGCTGGCCTCCAACTCCTGACCTCCAGCGATCCTCCCGCCTCGGCCTCCCTCCCGAGTAGCTGGGACTACAGGCATGCGCCTCCACGCCCGGCTCGTTTTTTCTATATATATTTTTAGTTGATCAATTAATTTCTTTCTATTTTTTTCCTAGTAGAGACAGGGGGGTCTCGCTCTTGCTCAGGCCGGCCTCGACCTCCTGGCCTCCATCGAGCGATCCTCCCTCCTTGGCCTCCCAGAGCGCCGGGACGACAGGCGTGAGCCTCCCCCGCGCCCGGCTGGGTGACCGAGCTGGGCGGCCGTGGGTGGCCCTTCTCGTTCCGCCGGGTGCCCGTTTCGGGACGCCGGGGTGAGTCACGGCCCGCAAACCCCCGGTGCCGTGGGGACGGTAGCGACGCCTCGTTAAAAAAAACGCCGCTGAAAGACCAGAACGTAGCTAAAGAAATGAATGTCTAAGTTGATTTTTTCTTTTCTTACCAGAGAAGGAGGTTGGGGACAGAGGACAGGGAGGGATCGGTTGGCGAGGCCAGGAATCGAAGAGGCCCAGGTTCCCGCGGGGTCCGGAGGCCTAGAAGGGGCAGGGAGGGGGGTACCCCGATTTTCTGCCTGCACCCCCTAACCCTGCTGACCTCGGAGAACAGAGAATTGAGTCCCCTAAACACCCCAACTTTGGGGTTGTCCTCCACGTTGTGTGTCTGCAGAGACAAAAACGCCACTCGGCGGCTTGCCAGGTGCCCTCTCCATGCCTCAGTTTCCCCGCCTGTTAGTCGAAGGCACCAGGATTGATCTAGAACCTGTTTCCCCTCGGCCTGGAATCCCCCGGGGGGGGGCGGCTGTCGTGGGGAACGGGGTGACGGCCGCCGTGGTGGCAGAGCTGATAAAAGAGGCCGGGCGTGGAGGCTCACGCCTGTCAGCCCAGGCAGTCTGGGAGGCCGAGGAGGGAGGATCGTTATAGAGGCCGGGGGTTCGAGGCCAGCCTGGGCAAGACCGAGACCCCGTCTCTACTATAAAAAAATAGAAAGAAAATTAACCAAACAAGTAAAAATAGAAAAAAAACGAGCCGGGCGTGGAGGCGCGTGCCTGTGGACCCAGCTACTCGGGAGGGAGGCTGAGGCAGGAGGATCGCTCGAGGTCGGGAGTTGGAGGCCAGCCTGGGCAAGAGCGAGACCCCGTCTCTACTGAAAATAGAAAGAAATTAATTGACCACTTCATTGAACTGGGAAGAAGGAAAATAGAAAAGAAAGAAATATATTAAATATTATAAATTTAAATTTTT